ACCACACGACATACGAATGCTCGATCGATCGAAGTCGCATCTGCGCTTCTTACTTCATGTCGCACGTCACGCCTCCTTTGTATAGCATGGATGGCGAAGGTTTGTTTGATTTTGTCGCAGTTCGCTTATAATGCATGCATCGAAGTTGATTTCAGACCTGAAACGTCATCTTCGACCTGATTTTTTTCGCGTCAAGTACGCCTTGACTTTTGTATATCGTAAAATTTCATTTGTATTATTAATAATTCATTTAACTTAATATTAATTTAATTTTGTTTTATATCTAAGCTGCTAGAATCTTCTTACAATCTTGTTAATCGATCTTATAGAATATATGATGCCAAAGTGCAGGATTCAGAGTCACTTGGTGCAGGAGTGATTCAATCAAATAACATCTAAGAGAATATAAGAAATACCCTGGAATTCGATCATCACTTTATGTCTTCTTACTTAACCATACAAATTTCTTTGACCTTGTGAGCTAGTCGTATCAATGGTATCAATGGAAAATCATACTGAAGATGATTTTTCCGCTGTTCATCATCTGAATTATTTAATGAAATGTACATCACCTACGTCAGGGTTGTCGTCATGTTTTGTGGATATTTTTATTACAACTGTTCAGTGGCTGAATCGCCGCTCACTCGAGGTTTGCAGTCACATTGACAGAGACTGGTTTTTATCAGCTGTCGTATTTCCTGTGTAAGTCAAATATCATTCGGTGAACTCGGCAAAGTACCACTTAAGTACGCTGAAGAAAGCATGATTAAAGCGTGAATGTAAATAAAATAGATTGCTTATGAATCAGGACAGATATGGTATGTTTATTTGATTGACTACTCTCAACTAAAGTTTCTTTTGTCCCCTTTGAAAGAAACGGGGATTGCCAAGGGTGTCCAAAGCATCGAAGATGGAACAGGTTACCTCTCCTTGCCTAGTCGTTTTCTTTTATAGGGTACGTGAGTACTGTAGAGGTAAATGTTGTTATAGGTTATAGCTATTTCAGTGACTTCGAATATGTCTAGGCTTTCGAGATCATTTAGCCCTTTCCTCTGGAAAGCAGGAGGTATTGGTGTTTGTTTGCAATTTAGATAATGCTGGTCAGGTTCGAACCCTAGGTTAGATTACAGATTTTCTTATTATCAGTCAATCACAGTGAGCAAGGGATTTAATCTATTGTGTTTTGGTGCAATGAGTGGAGAAACAGATAGCAAATTATTGACCTGCGAAAAAGAGGCAGCATTATGTTCGTTCTAGTCCATGCCACATTCATGCGACTGACTGATGCATGGATACTACAACCCCAGATCGTATTGGCCCATATGATGGATGACTAAAATCACGTCGCTTGGAAAACAGCCGTAGTTTCATGAGTTGTTCGTAATGGCTAAGGAGTTCTGCCAATTGAGCAGGCTTCATTGGATGTATAGTGATGAACTGATAAGGCCCATTTTTAATGTACCTATGCCATTTAATTCTCGGTCTTTGGCCATTTATTACGGGACTTTACAGAGAGAATGTTTGTTTGTAGTGACCAGTTAGTGGTTGTTTGACTTCTGAATATTTTTTAATACTTTTGATTGTCCTGCTCACGTGGCTTTATTAATTCCTTCCTAATCGTATGCACTGGACCGTTTTTGTTGTTAGATGCAGCGCTCATGTCGATCTTGGAATATGCACTGATCTCTACATTGCCGAAAGACGGTATAGGCCGATTTCTCAGAAACAGCTGCTCTACTTTCTTTACGTGGTGCGCAGAATATTGGCCAACATCACTCGTGAGGACGCGCATATATCCTTGGAATGCAGACATTCGACAGCCCGCTTTCTTTGTTACTTCCTTTTTCCAACTTGTGTGATCAATGACCAGAAGGTTCTTCTCAAAGTTCCCTGCAGGTAATTTTTTTGCAAGTTCGAAACTAGTTTGACAACGTTTTTTCGTTTTATGGGCTTCCTTCATTGGATTTGATTGTTCACAGATGAAGCAGCACTTCGGTTAGTTTTTGTTTTTCTATTGTTGCTTTACTTCATTGACGATGTTTTCTTTCCAGAATTTACGTACAGTTTTCTGTTATCAGTTTATGCAAACATACAAGTAGTAGGCTAGTGTTCGAAACTTTCATATAGTGAAATTGCATGGAAACGTTTTAGGGCCTCGGTGTGGGCTTTTTGAATGCTCGCTGTATTGAAGGGTTTCTTTTGGATTTCTGAGAGCATAGCTATAATAGTATCCTACGTAACTTTCCATTGCCACTTACTTCACTTTCGGTTATAATAAACCCAATAGTTATTACTTAGCGATTTAATGTATCTCATGACAAATGAATATAAAAGATGACCATGTTTTCCTGAGATCTTCAAATTTAGTTTCTTTGGTATTTTAAATATGTAATCATTCGTCTATAAAGCCACTGTGATGTACTGTATCAGCTATAGACGTTTGTGTCCTACAACTAGGAAAGTAAGAATTCATGAATCAACGAGTACATTTGACCCATTGCATTTTACGCCATGTTTAGCGTTTCGTTTTGGTGTTCACCCATTTGTGCTGCTTCGTTCATGCTGAGTCTTATAAATGTATTATTTCAGAGAGGACTGTAACAGACTGAAGCTGACCTCTTGCCCAGAACTTTGGAAAGATGTTGTTGAACAGCTAAACTGGCTTCTTCGTGGATTCTTGCCAACACACGGTTTTCACTGTCGCTTATTACCATCAGTTTTGGATTCTGACTACAAATGCGCATCATTCGACGACCAGGGGTCATCTTCCTGGAACCGAAGCCTGATCACTGAAACCTGCTACCGTCCGTACGATCGCTACTACCTTGGGACAGAAAATGTTTCTGCCCGCGGAATCAGCTGTATTCCGTGGAACCTGCTTGTAAGTATAACTGAATCACTGGTATTATTGAGATAGGTTACTACCAGTTTTGTACAGAAATAGTTTGAAAAAGCCACATTCGAAAGTTTGTTACGAAGAGTAGACCATCCTCTGCTCATCGCCAGGATGGGCAACGAGCGAGGAAATTAGCGCTTAACAGGAGGAAGGTTCGTTTTTGTTTTTGAAGTTGAACAAGGAATTTACAAGGATGCGGGAGCTCCCTCTGACTCATTATCAATAACGTTGTAAGCGTAGCAGCCACATAATTGTAATTGCCATTTGCAGGGAAACTGATTAGGCTTTTTTTGTCGCAGCTTTCACCATAATCATGGTCATCATCACATTAATCAAAGTCATAAACTTTGTCATTGTTACCGGTTTAGCCAGCTAATTTGAGCAATTTTTATGGTTATCTCACCGACAGAAGTATAAACATAATACTACCGTTTTTCACTTTAGAAATTAATTTCGAAAAAATTCGTCCTATTCCATTTTTCAGTGTGAAGACGGAGTTTTGTTGTTCCCTGATGCTTATTTGGAGTTGGATAGCGCTGCGAATTACTGTCGCAATCCGGCAGGCAAGAGAGTTGCGCCTTGGTGTTACGTGTCAGACAGGTCTCTACTATGGGACTTTTGCCGCGTGCCGCAGTGCCATGCCAGCAGCATCGCCGAACAACTGCAGAAGAGCAGCGAGCTTTGGATTTATGTTCTCTTTTTTGTCCTTCTGTCAACTTTAGTAGGTTTAACGGTAGCTTTCAAGAACGGGTTACGTCCGTGCCCACCGACAGTTCTCCTACGATCAGCCAACACGTCTGCGCCATTTTACGAAGAACAGAATTCTCTTTATGGTTTGGTGAATACCACTGGCGACTACGTACAAAATGTCGACAAGATCATTCCAATCAAGCATCTGTGCAGTGGCGAATTTGGCAGCGTATTGAAGGTATGAAAACGGTGTACGTTTTAGATTCCTGTATTCAAGGTCACGTTTTCTGTACTGTGACAGGAAAAAGAAAAGTTGGTAACCGTTGGAATGTCAGACTTCTTTGCAATGACAATGCCAACAATTCTAGCGCTCTTTTTTCATTAAGTTGATGGCGTTGCCACTGATCTGCAATTCTACGTCATCAGCCAGGAGTATCTTATTTGTAAACGCAGAATCGATAGCAGTTATATGCCAAGTATAATCTGTGTTCTCATGTTTTCTTTACATTTATTTATCAGACTGGTACTTATCAACCTTGTAGGGTAGAAAGGTGAGTGATCCTGCGCGGGGCTCGAACCAAGGACCCTCTCGGTTGGAAGCCTGACGCTCTGCTGACTGAATAACCCTGATCTGATGTGTAGTAAAGAGTAGTAAATATTTTGCTCAGGAAGATTCGTGGTAAAGACAATGATTGCCAGCCGTGGGCACTGAACTCTGCATATTCAGAACTGAAGTTCGAAACCTACCTCTTACAGACTGGGTGGTGCCGCTGCGGTGCATACTATAACAAAAGCTTCGCAGAGTTATTCGTTTCAGGGGTATTATTTCGGTTTCTATACCATGGCAAAAATTAAATAATATGACAACTTTTCAGTACATTTAAGTGTAATTTTCAACACTGATGCTGTCTAGCATTTGAGTCAGAGTTTTTAGTTTCATTGCAGAATGGAGAACAGATCTGCCAAAGGTGTCTGTTAAAATTCGCCTGAGAGTTTTTGTTTAGATTGAATTAACTTATTTAGATTGAATTAATTTGTTTAGATTAAATCTTCCTCACTACCTGTATTAGTTTACGGTTTACTTACATATTTAAGTTTTAAGTTTTTACTACTAAATAATAAAAGAAAATACGCTGCTGTTGTACTATATACATAGTATATATAATATGCGCTTTATGCATCTGGATATTTTTACATGGTTCTTGAATTTGTAATGCAATTTCTACGATATTTCCTACAATATCGTTTCTTGAAAAGCCACGGCGACATGGTGATAGGGTTTCAATCTAACTTCCATGACCTCGAAGCAACGCAAAGCCGGAGTCACGTTGGAGTCGGAGTCACGTAACGTAACGTAACGTCAAGTTGGAGTCACTTACACATGGTATGATTTCAAATTATTAAGGACAGGGATCGGACCAAAGGAGCGTTCCTTCTGTAGCTTAAATCTGGCAGGTCATCTTCATCTTCATCTTCATCTTCATCTTCCAT